AGAGAGAGAGAGAGAGAGAGAGAGAGAGAGAGAGAGAGAGAAAGAGAGAGATGTGCATTATTTAAGGTGTTCTTTTTTTCTTTTTCCTCTTCAGGCGGACTTAGAGGGTCTAACAGAGCTCGAGGCTCAGGGTGAGTGCAAGAAAAACAATTACTAATTTCATAGTTTGGCGCGACATTACAGTTATAGAAGCCTGTCACTTTAACTTACGTAATTAGGTGTTGATTCTCCACACAAGACAAACCCTGCTAAATATAATAAAATTTAGGAAAATGCAATACTATGGCCACTTGAAACGGCACGAGACCAGTGTGAAATTGGTGCTAGAAGGAAGGATTTGGACAGAAGAAACAGGGGAAAACGAGGAGTAACTTGGACAACATAAAGACATGGACTGGCCTGGATATGGCAGAACGTCCAACGACAGCTCACGACTGTGAAGGATGGAGGGTCATTACACGTCAACCTCTGAGCCAGAGATGATACCTCCAGGTGCCAAGATAATAAGGTGTAGGTAGTTTATCGGACTCATAATCGTCAGGTTGCAGTTTCTGGGGTTCAAGCCTCAGGTCTGACGTTGCGTCATTGGGAAAGGCACTTTACACAAATCGTCCTCACTTCACCCAGGTATGAAAGGTAAATGACTAAAGACGGTGAAAGATCTTACCAGTATGTAAATGTGATAGCACATGTAAAATGGCTGCCTGCACTGTATGTTTCCCGGGAAGTTGAGATTGTTTCAGAATGCTACCAGGTCGGCGGGAGGAAGATTGTAAAGCACATACAGCTTGCTGTTTAACGATGATTTTTGTTATACAAATAATTATTTATTATTATAAATGTCACATCATATTTAGATCAAAAGATATTATACCTTTTGTAAGCAGGTGGAGTTTATTATTTGATATGTTATCTATTCTTTAATACCACTGGCTCCAGAGGACTTCGGTATTCATGAAAAAAGAAAACAAGTTTTTATTTAGTTTCTTTCTTTAATCGATCAGGATCGCGTGTTGAAACTTGTGATTTCGACACTATTGCGTCGTGTGAGCACTCCTACAAGCACCATGTACAACGACTATTTTTGTGGGTAGTGCTTAACTCCATGAAAACGTAGAAGACACATTTATTGTCCGACCAATCAGTGGTACATTTCGAATCATCATAGACGCATCAGAAACATTAATTTTCTTATTTCATAATAAGCGTTATGTTGCCAATCTTTTTACGTTTCAAATTAAAAATAGCAAAAGGAGTGAAAAATCTGCATGATTAACGAATTTATACTCTTTTTTAAAAAAAAGTGCATTTTGAAAGAGCCTTCAAAACTTTTCGTCTGCTAGCGCTGTCGACGATCCGTCGTCAGAGAGTTAATGACGCCACTCATTCTTCCCCCAGAGCTCCGAGATGCCTTCTCGCTGTTCGACAAGGACGGCAACGGGACCATCTGCGTGGACGAGCTGGGCAGTGTGATGAGAGCCCTCGGCCAGAACCCCACCGAGAAGGAGCTGGAGAACATCATGAAGAACGCAGACGTCAGTAGTGAGTAGTACAAGGTCTTAGTATGAGTTTTACAACACAATTATTAAGGGACGTATTGGATGAGAGGTTTAACAACACCACTTAGTAAGAGTTTACAACACAATTAGGACATATATAAGTGCCGATGATTTAAGGTGTTTCAAGAGAGTAACAAACAAAATGAAAAAAAAAAGATATAAGGATTATTCATGTTTAATATGAAAAAGGAGCTAAATACACCAGAGCACCCGCCAACCACCCAGTGAGTATAGCAAACATCATTTTGTCTTCCGTATCAGAGATACGTTTTTGTCGCGTCGGTGGAGTAGTGGTTAGGCTCTCGGACTTTGAAACGAAGGTCATAGGTTCGAATTCCACCAGGAGCCCACTGTTGCTTGTGTCCTTGGGGTGGGCACTGAAAGCGAATTTTCTTCACTATACCCAGGTGGGAATGGTTACCTTGCTATAGACAGAGAAGGATCGGGCCAGTCTGTTTGTCAGGATTTACGCGCGTGAAATCCACAGCTTGCATACTGTGTTAGGATTCTTTTTTTTCTTATTTTCGGTAAGTATTTTACGGGGCTCGCAACTGCATAATGTCATATGAGCGCACGGGACACACCAAACATTTTTAGTAGGTAAGAAATTTTGAATTTTGTCTGAGTGTTGGCCGAAACTTACTGTTATCAATTTTGGACCACAAGGGATCATTTAAGTGCACAACTTGACCCGGGAACTCAGAGATTTTTCATTCTTGTCCGAGAAGTCTAGGTGTAGATCTTTCCTACCACACGATCAGGGGTACGGCTGAAAGACAGCAGTAAGAAGGAGCCAAGGAGTAGAAGTAGAAAGGCTGCAGAAAGAGTCTGGAGCCCAGAGGGCAAAAGAGGTGACGGGGCGGGGGCAGAAAGTGGAGAAGAAAGCAGACGACAGAACATTGCTAGAGAGCAGGAAACGGGGTGGAAGGAGAACATGTTAGAGAAGAAAATTTTCCGGCGCTATGCAGATTCGAAACCGGGACCTTTTAAATGAGAGGTGAACACCTTAACATCTAGGCCACGAGAGCCCCCTGTTAGGGCTCGTGGGAAACCGAAAATGTTTCCTTGAGTCGTGTTTCCTTGGGTCTGCTTGTAATATAATATAATATGTAGTTATAAAGCATGTAGCATGTGCTGTAGAAAGTGGGTATGCACTAAAATTGTATTTTTGTAATGATAATAATAATCGTAATAGACATGATCATGATAATAATAACTACTAAATTATTATTATTATTATTATTATTATTATTATTATTATTATTAATTATTATTATTATTATTATTATTATTATTATTATTATTATCATTATTATTATTATTATCATCATTATCTTCCTCCTCTTCTCTCTCTCTCTCTCTCCTCCTCTCTCCTCTCTCTCTCTCCTCCTCCTCCTCCTCCTCCTCCTGCTGCTCTCCTCCCCTCCTCATCCTTCTCCTCCTCCCCCTCCTCCTCCTCCTCCTCCTCCTCCTCCTCCTCCTCCTCCTCATTATCATCATTATCATCATTATCATCATCATCATCAAGATAATGTTGTAACATTCTAACATTTAAACGCGCCATTGTTGCTTGACGTCACGGCTGCCTACAATAAGCCGCACAGAAAGTGAAAACCTCGGATGTGCACAGTAACTTTATAATGTAAGCTTTAAAGGGATGGTTCAAGTCGACATTTATTCTGGGTGGTTGACGGATGCTCTGGTGTGGTTTGATCCTTTTTTCCTATCAAGCGTCTGTTGTCCTTTTTCTCTCCTTCTTTTTTATGTTTTCTACTGCTCTCTTAAGCTTGTAACACCTCCAATTTTGACACCAATGTGACCTAATTGTGTGGTAAGTGCGATACAATTTTTATCGGGACTTAAATATATTTTTTTAACCATAAAGAATTGAAGACCTGAGAACAAGACGGTGCCCAAGTCCAAAATGGCAAACATTGAGTTCTTGGTATCTATAAATAGAAAAGACTTTCCCACACATATTGATTGTGCACATGACACTCGACCATGAACGGTGTAGAGAAAAAAGAACCACCCCGGAAAAACTGCAGCAGCGTACCTCACAGCAAATGTAGACTTGAACAGGGGCGGTTGGTTAACTGGGCGAGAAAGTCAGCTGTGTGGACAGGAGATTGGCTGCTGATGATAGTTCTTATTCAGTTTTAAGTAAATCCAAATTCATATTTATCAACATTTAAATAGCACTTGTTCCCTTAAAAAGTACGTTCAAAGAGACGATAAGGGTTCGCCGATGTGTTGTCGCACAACAGAAACTCGTTCCTAAATCTAAGTTTATCTCGCTGGCTCACAACGTTGTTGTTACCAGCAGCTGTTACGATGGGCCCCTTCGTATCGCACGTTCAGCGGTGACGTCACCCAGCTCGGCGAACTGAGCACTTGCCCTCAGCTTGGAAAGAGCTCGCATGGAGATCACCTTTCTAGCCAATTTGGCTCTCCTGTTGTTTGGTCTGCTTCGGACAGCGTCAGTGGTGTGGTATCAATTTCGTTCTAAGTTTTGACAGCAGATTACTAAAAATCAGCACGTTAATATCATGTTTATGTACATATGAAATTTTAGTGGAAGGGGCCATGTATCCAAGCACTCTATATGTGTTTGTGTGTGTGTTGTTTTGGGAAAAAAGGGGCGGGGAAAGCAAAGATACAGGTATAAAATGTGTCTCTGTGTGTATGTGTGTGGAATGGCGGCGGAGAAAGGGGGTGGGGGGGGGGGGTAAGAGGGAGACCAAGGGGGTTGGAGGTTGAGGTAGTGTGGGGAAGGGGGAGAGAAAATCGATATGAATGATAGCAGGTGAGTTTCACGAACCACGAGCCGCCCCTGGATTTGAGTCCACGTTTTTTGCTGTTTTTCCTTGGTTCAGCGAAACTGACTTAGTCACAGTCGTGTTCTCAGGTCTTCAATTATCCCTTTTCCCGCTTGTTGCAGAGTCCGGGAATCTGACCTATGACGAGTACGTGTCGGTCATCAACAGCCATTGTCTTTCTGCTGTGGACATCGAGGTTCAACTCAGACAGGTAAATATATAGGTTTTTTTTTAGATCAAATATACACATAACAAATTCTCATGCCATGTAGACAGACCAAATTACACCTAAGAAATCAAAATATACGAATGGCGTCATAAAATGTCCTTATCTAACAATAGCAAGTTCAAATATAAAAACCCCCCATTGAAATCTCAAATGTAACGCATAGAACATTTAAATGCCACATAGCAATTCCAAATGTATGTCTTAAACTAGTGAATAAAAGAGGCTAAAAGCATAAGAAGTGTACCAAGGTAAAAAGTAAAATTGTTTTTTTTAATCACAAAAAGCTAGTTGTAAGTCGTGCAGTGCAACAACAAGGAAAGGATTTTTAATAGGTCTGACGTCGTGATAAAATCAGGCGCTCGTAAAAATAGTGAAATCGGAAAACAAAATCGGGTGTCAATTTTAAAAGCTTGTGGACTCATAACTCCATTTTTGTATGACAGCTGGTTTATCTTAAAATTATGTTTGTTGAATGGGAAATGAAAAAACAATAATTAGAAAACAGTGGTACAGAAATACAATTATGAGTCAACAAGCGTTCAAAATTGATACCCTCACGATTGTCAGTGTGTGACTATTCCCGTTCTTCCCGTATGCCAAAGATAGTAAATAACAAGATGGACCACTCAGCCAAAAAAGTGTCCGCCGGAAGTATACTCTTTGCTTCAGATGGCGCTGCAGTCTGTTTTGAAGCTCTCTTTCGTTTTTCCAGAAGAAGAATAGGAATAGCACCCCCTTGCGTGCGCAGATCGACTGCTGTTCATCAGCAGTTCGGGTACGTTCAGTGCGGAGTTTTAGTTTTTTATTTTATTTTAATGACCTCTCGCCTTTCATTCTAAAGTCAAATTAAACAAAGAAAACCATCACCCTTTCCTCCGGAAGAGGTTTTTTGTCAGCGTAACCATTTTACAAAAGCGTTCTTCCGAAATTTATCCCAAAACTTGCTAGTTTCACTTTGATTTTTTAAAACTCAAGTACGGTAACTCTGTTCGCAAAGAGTGCGCTTTTGTGAAGAGGGCGCCATCAAATTTTGAGGACACTTTTTTAATTGGCTCAAAGAGAGAAGTGGCCCATCTTGTTATTTACTAACATTGCCGTATGCTCTTCATTTATATAGCGCAAATTCCCCCTCAAAAGCAAACTCTAGGCGCTTTATAATCTATACTCTTATCCCAGCAGACCTGACGGCATTCTAAAACAATATCAAATTTTTTTGAAGCATACAGTCCAAGCTGCCATTTGTAGGCCCTAAAACACTAACAAACTGACAAAATCTTTTGCGGTCTGTGGATTGGCACATAGGTTAAGTGGGGGAAATTTGAGTAAAGTGCCTTTCCCAAGAACACAACGTCGGGCTCAGGGCTCGAACCCCCGAACCTGCAACCTCACGATTACGAGTCCGGTAGCCTAACAACAAAATACGTCGTCAACGAAGACAACAACAACAACAACAACAACAACAACAACAACAACAACAACAATAACAACAACAACAACAACAACAACTGCAACAGCAATAACAACAGCAACAGCAAGAGCAACAACAACAACACGAGAAAGTATCATGGGCAGCAGAGAACGAAAACACCCCCACCATAACGGCAACAAGGACAGTAAATAGCAAAATAGCCACAGCCTATATACATCCACCAACACCACCAACAGAAATCACCAAAACGACCATTACCAACACCACCTCAACAATCCTCACCACCATAACACAATTTAGCGATACAACCATTACCACAACCACAACGATCCCTACCACCATAACAAAAATGACAAGTTCAACCATTGCCACTACCACCCAACCATCACCACCACCACCACCACCACCACCACCAAAATCACCACCACCCCCATCACCACCAGCAACAACAACAATATAACAAATATCACCAATACAACCGACACCATCGCCACCACCACAACATTCCCCGCCATCATCACCACAACCATACAACACCATAACAAAAAAACACCAATACAACGATTACCACCACCACTGCCACCAGAACCACGACCAGCAACAACACCACCATCATTGCAACTTACTTATAAGCCCCTCCACCCTTCCCCCTCCTACCGGAACCACACCCACCCCGTCTACCCCCACCCCTCATCCTCACGCTCTCCTAGGCCTTCCTGGTGTTTGACCGCGACAAGAGCGGCTACCTTGACCTTGACCAGCTCAAGGACGTCCTGTTGACCTTGGGGGAGCCTCTCACGCCGGAGGAAGTGCAGCTCGTCTTTAAAAAGATTGACCAGAACAACGACGGCAAAGTGGACCCAGAGGGTGAGTCCCATTCTTTCTTTCATTCATTCATTCATTCATTCATTCATTCATTCATTCATTCATTCATTCATCCATTCATTCATTTGCAGTTTAAAGGACACCTGAATAGACATAAGTGCCTTTAACATCTATCTCTTACTGGCAAAATCGAAGGCAAACGAGGCAGGGGACGGTCCAGAGCAACCTACTTAGGGAACCTAAACAGGGGATGGAAGAGATCAGGATAACGTAGATTTTTTTAAGAGCATCCGAGCAAAGGAATGAATGGTCACTGATGTCTGCCGCAGATCTGGCACTTGATGGCGATGAGTAAATTGTTTTATGGCACTTGCAACACAGATCGGTCATATAAGGGCTAAATGTGACCAGAGACTGACAAGCAAAGAAAAGGAAGAGAAATAAGATATATCCGAAATAATGAGTAAACTACATCAGAGCACCTACCAAGCACCCACAATCGTTTTTAAAAGACATCACTTCTCCGAGGACCTGAAACTTTACATACATCTGTAGCCTAGTCAGAGTAATGTCGTTAGAGGTACGCTTTATTGTGTGTAAATAATATTTATTCATTTTCACTCTCTTTCCCATTTATTTTCCCTTATTTTCGTAAAAACTTTACCGATCAGCCAGGCTTTCACTTACGGACAGGGAACATACACATTTTGCTACCTAGAATTACAACAAAGTTATATCTGCTCAATACCTAGTTTTGAGAAACCTGACTTTAAAAAATTGAGTTTCACAACATGTCAAGCTTTTAAAAGACAATTCTTTGAATACATGTATCTCAATAACGACTACGAATAATCTTTACGATTTAGATAGAGCAGAATAAACATTTGGTTTCTGACCTCTTGGTTTTTTAATAACTCAAAACGACCAAACGTATCAGACAGAACTTTGTAATTCTAAGGTAGCGATTTCACTGCCCTACTGAAGATTGTTTAAAAAACAAACAAAAACAATTCAAGTACCTGGAATACCTGGAGGTGTCATCTCTGACTCAGAGGTTGACATGTAATGACCCTCCATCCTATACGGTTGCGAGCTGCCGTTACACATTCTGCTTTAGGTCCTACCCAGACCAGTCCTTATTTTAATGTTGTCCGTCCATCTTACTCCTTGTCTTCCCCTGGCTATCCTGCCCCGCACCCTTCCTTCAAGCACATCTTTCACAAAGGTCTCGTGTCGTTATTCAACTACATGATCTACATGTATCTTAATCCCATGCTCAACTTTCTACTCAACAGAGTTCGTCTCCTTCCTGTGCAAAAGAGTATGACTGTGCGTCTGAAGACCTGCTCACTCACTGAAACCCTGCACCCGCTCACCCACCCACCCACCTACCTTGTCTCCGCCATATTGTCACCTTCAGGTTTCTTCAAGGGGAGTTTAAAAACAAACAAACAAATAAACTAGGACAAGATCTGGTACTCTCAACGCAAATGGAATTCCACCCTTACATTACATATCCGTGACAGAACTGCCACAGAACCTGGCATTAATTTATGGTAATTTTATGCGTCGTGGGTCGGTGGCCTTGTAGTTAGGCTACCGGACTCATAATCGTGAGATTACGGGTTCGGGGTTTCGAGCCTCAGCTCGTTCCGACGTTGTGTTCTTGGGAAATGCACTGTTCACGAATTTCCCAGTTGGATCGGTCCTTTCGGAGATGGACGTTAAACTCGGAGGTCCCGCCTCTTTAACTACCCAATAGTGTTGATAGCCCCATACAATTCTTTAAACATTATACCTTCCAGGTTACGTTCTCACGGAGTCAACAAAGCAGTTCAGGACATGATCATTATGCAGAATCAATTCTTTGCACTATAACAGAATGACACTTTGCATGACTATCAATCTAACCCAAGGGAAAAGACAATCATCATCCTTTACCTCTTCATGTCTATGATATGTTTCTGGCACATTGGTCTCTTAGGTTTCTTTGCATTTATGTTTTTGTTTTAAAAAGCGTTTTACGACACTTGCAACACAATTCGATAATAAAAGCGTCGAAGATTAGAGGCGTTACAAGAGAGTAATAAACATAAAAAAAGAGGAGACATGAAGACGATAGTTGCTTTATAGTAAAGAAGGAGCAAACCACACTAGAGCACCTACCAAACACCCACTTTCAGTTAAGTGTATTTATACATTACGATGTTCTGGTTGGATTGTGTAGATTGATTTTTAAAAGATTGTTTTTATTTTCTTGTTTTTATAATAATTTCTGGACAATAAAGATATGTCTTAACTTATCTTATCTTATTAAACAAAGGATAAAAAAGAATCCAGCTGCGAATCTATTTTTCTCTTTCTCAGTGTAGTTTCTCCCTCCTGTTTTCCCGTTTCTTCTGAACATTGTTTTACGTCGCTTCTTGTTAATAAAACTGACATAATGGAAAAATGACTTTATTAATTGTTTTGGAGAATACATTTTTTTAACGTTCATGACAAGGGTAAGTCTACGATACTGAGACGCTCAGAACAGACACGGAGAAAACACACTCACGCACCACACACGGGCTCGCATGCACATACATACGTATATGCACACACGCTAAAATACTCACAAACACACACACACACACACACACACAC